CTTCATTATTTTTTCCCTATTTCTACCTGGGTCTTTTGTGTATTATGCTTTTCAAGGTCCTCCATTTGGTCCAGAGCTTTCTGTAGAATTTTTTTTTAGCTCCTCAATTATTTTTACCTCCTGCAACTGCTTTCTTTACTTTTTTTTAAATCTTGAGTTTCTAATTTGTTTATTAATTTTATTGCTTAAGCCATTCATTTATTTTTCTTCATTTGCTTCCAACTCTTTAAATTTCATTATCATGGCAATTTTGAGCTTTCTGCGTGTAAGGAAGATGAGCTCTTCCATTTCTTTAGGGATGGATTGTAGAGAGATTTTCTCAAGTTTGCCCCTATGTTGTGGGGGCTCTTTTTTTTTTTTTTTTTGACTGACCATTGTGACCACTCTCCATGGAATTCTGTATTCTCCAGTTGCAGCAAGTTGGAAAAATTAGAGGGAGCCCAAGAGAGCACACTGGGTGGGGGGACGAAGGTACAACTCCTGACATCCCACCCTTGCTCACAGAAACCTTTTGTTCACAGGCTCTGTTCCCTGTGGTTACTTGTAATTATGTGGTTACTTGTAACCATAAATTCTGGAAGCAGGTACAGAGGTGCTTATGGGAGGGGTGGGCGTGTCCTCAATCTTTCTGAAGCCTAGTGTTTGGAAATCAACTTCCAAAAAGTCTATGTTTGATATACCTGGCAGTGGTATGTTTTCCCCTTCACTGTGGCTAGACAGGTGCCATTGCTTGCAATTTCTCTGTGAGCACAGGACAGAGGTTGTGTATTTTTTTTTTTTTTAGATTTATTTATGCATACAGAACTGGGGTACAAGCCAGGGACGGTGAGAGGATTCACCAGAGACAGAGTAGGGAGCAGAACAGGCCAACTGACGAAGTTCAGTGCTGAGGGGAGCAGTGGGTGGGCCAGGAGAGGTCTGCTGCTCCATGTGGGTCACTTCCAGGGTGGGGATCGAACTCATGTTGAAGTGGCGTTAGCGTCTTAGTGCTGTGCTTTAACCCTTTGTGCCACCAGAGAGGGCCCCGAGGTTGTGTATTAATAGGAGGAGGTGGGAAGGTTAAACCCCAGTCTCTGGGAAGCCCTCAGCCTAGAAGCCTGGTGCTCAAAAGCCTTGGTTGAGATATGCCCTATGGTGATTCAGGACAAGCCACTGAAGAGAACAAGTTCAGGGCCTCCCTGGTGGCCTCAGGAGGGGTCTTAGTGCTATCACCACTACAGCCTTCGTACAATCCCCAGCCAGGTTGTTGACCCCTATGGCTTGCAGACCTCCCCTATGTTGACTACTGCTCCCCTCAGTAGTGTCTTTCAGTAGATATGCCTATTCTGCTCACCTCTGTCTCTCGTGAATCCTCTCACTCTCCCTACCCCCATACCTCAGGCCTGTACCCCAGTTTTTCTATGAAAAAAAATTTTTTAAAAGAAACTGAGTTCACCGTGGCCTCCCTTTATGTGCAGACTGTAGTTTGAGCAGATTGGGTAGGGGGAAAATAAGTGTCTTTCTGGGCTCACCAGGGCACAGATATCTACCCCTGAGAGCAGAGGCCACAACAGGGATGAACATGTGCCTCTCTCCACTGCTGAATCCAGTCTCCATTCACCAGGATGTCTTGTTGCACTATGGAAAGGGCTATCTTCTCATAGTGAATGATGTTCTCTCCTCCCAGGCTGAGTTATCTTTCTGACCTAAAATTTTATCTATTCTGTGAAAGAGATACTATTTAGGCTGATAATTACTCATCAGACGAAATTTTTAAATTAACTATAATAGACACCTGCTCCTCTAACTCTAGATACTCTACTAATTCTGAAGTCTCAAATGTGATACTCTGATGGCCCAATCACATATTTTCCTATATCTAATTGGCTGAGAACAGGGAGTGGTAGGCCACAAACATAGTCACAGTGAGAGCCTCTTTGTTGGAAGGAGACATTTCTCCCAAACCAAGGACACCAAAACTTATCTACTACATGAAATTAAATAGGTAGTGAACGTTGAAAAAATAGTGTTCTTTTATTATGTGGATATTGAATAACATCTCTTTCTAAAGTAGTTCTAAATTGATGGAATATCCTCAGTATCTTTACATTTTTATTAAGACAATTCACTTCTAGATAAACTTTAAAGGTATTATGTTTATTAAGAAAGTGAAAACTGGGCTCTCCCTGGGTTAAAGCACTGCATTATGAAGCTCTCAGAAGCCACTGTAACATGAATTAGATCCTAGCCAGGGAGCTGATCCACATGGTGCGGCAGACCTTTCCTGACCCACCTGCTGCTTCCACCAGCAGTGTACATTGTCAATCTGCCTGTTCTGCCTCCCATCCTGTCTCTGTGAACCCTCTCACCCATCATTCCTCTAGCCTGCACCCCAGTTCTGCAAACATAAATAAATAAATCTTTAAAAAAATAGAAAGAAAGTGAAAACTAGTAATGTTAGCCATGTGGCTCAGCAAAGTGACAGCAGAGCTGGAAACTCAAAGTATGAAGAATATGACTGTTGCAGAGGCCCTGAATGAGAAGGAAGTGCAGTTGTAATACTAGGCCAGAATCTACAAGAGGATGACCAACACTCAGAGCAAGAACTCAACTTTAATATGGCCAGAATAATATAAAATGAAGAATTAAGAACCAAGTTGCTAATGGGTTAAAAATTTAAATGAGGCCCTCCCTGGTGGTGCAGCAAGTTAAAGCATAGCATTAAGAAGCTGAAGCCACTTCCACATGAGTTCCAATCCTGCCTGCCCTGGAGGAGACCACATGGCGAGGCAGACCTCTCCTGGCCCGCCCACTGTTTCCCTCAGCAGTGTACTTCATCAATCTGCCTGTTCTGCTCCCTTCTCTGTCTCTGGTGAATCCTCTCACCCTCCACATCTCTGGCCTGTACCCCAGTTCTGTATGAATAAATAAATAAATCTTTAAAAAAAAATTAAGTGAAACCTTCCATTAAAAAGTATTAGTTTTAGGGCCCTCCCTGGTGGTATAGTGGGTTAAATCACAGCACTGCGAAGCTAGCTGCAGCCACTCCAGTGCAAGTTCAATCCCCAGCCAGTGAGGTGACCCATCTGGCACAGCAGACTTCTCCTGTCTTGGCCACTGCTCCCCCCCAGCAGTATACTTCGTCTATCTGCCTGTTTGGCTCCCAGATCTGTCTCTGATGAGTCTTTTCACTGCCTTTACACCTCTGGCCTGTACCCCAGTTCTGTATGCACAAATAAAATAAATCTTAAAAAAAATAAAAAAGTAATAGTTTTAAAACCAAGGTCTAAATCTTCAGGGTGGGAGGAAGAAATACATAAAGGAGAATGTGAGAACTATGTAGTACTTAACTTCATGTTAGTGACTTCATTATAACATTACTTTTCTAAGAATCATTTTTAAAATGATGTAGTTTGGAATGTTAGAAATAATATCAAACTAGACAAATAACTGTTGATTTAAGATACACTCACAGAATCAGAAGTAATTATTTATTTTAAAGGATCGAATAAAAAATTATTTCCAAAACTTTTTGAGAACAGAAATAATAGACACAGACTGTCCTTTAAATATTCTCTGCACATACAGGGAAATTATATTTCTTTGCTAATAAAGGTTTCACTTTTCTGCAATTCAATGAATAGACAAAAGACCAAAGGAAAATCTGAACTCTCCGTGCCCCTGTTAGAATAAAGAAACTGTGAGCTTACCTAAAAAAAAAAAAAAAAAAGCAACACCTACAAAATCCTCTTAATTTTTCTCATTCATTATTTGTATTGCCCCCCAACCCCCTCTCACCCCCGGTTTAGTGAGTCATAATCACAAATCACATTTACCTTTGATGAGCCAGGTTGGATGTACTGGCTTGGGCAGAAACAGGGACTGGCTCTAGTGTCAGAACAGAGGGAAAATGTCTGTTAGACAGTGATCTACTCCTTACAGGAAACAAGAGTCAGGTCTCTGCTCTTTTAGCAGAGGAGGCCAAGAGCCTCTATGACAGCTTTGCTGTCACAGCTCCTAGACCCAATACTGACTCTGCAAGGTTCTATAGCCGAAAGGCTGTAATTAAGATTGCAGAATTTAGTGTGCTTTTGCTTGGCAAATATTCTTCCTATAGATTCCCAATTCCAGATTCTCCTCATGTTTCCTCAGTTTTTCTACTTTAACATTGAGCTGGGTGAGTAGAATATTTCTCTGTTTGGAGTTCTCATTCCCGAAGGGGCTGGAGTGGGGAATTGGAGTGTGTTATTCAATGTCACTTGGGTATCTTCTCCAGCAAGCTAAGACTACTTTTTCTCCCCCTAAGGTGCCTACTCACACCTCATTATCAAGAGAATTAATCTCCCCTCACTCACTATCCAGACTAGTCTATTACTAATTTAGTGATTTATTTATGCACACAATAACTGGGGTACAGGCCAGAGGTGCAGGGGTTGAGAGGATTTACCAGAGACAGAGTGGGGAACAGAACAGGCAGACCTACTGAAATATACTGCCGAGGGGAGCAGCAGGTGGGTGAGGAGAAGTCTGCGGTGCTATGCGGATCACCACACTGGCCAAGGAATGAACACACTGCAGTGGATGTGGGTAGCTTCATAGTGCTGTGCTTTATCCTGTTGCACCACCAGGGAGGGCCTGGGCCTGGTTTTTCTTGATAACTACCTTTTAGAGGGAGACTCCAAAGTCCTCAAAAAAGGTGTTTGTTGGCTGTAGCTGAACAATTGCAAAGGAAAGTAAGTGCTCTAAGCAAAGGAGATCAGACACATAATGAAGTTTTAGCTGGAGAAAACAGTAAATTATTTTGACATCACTGAGCTTCTTCAGGTACCTTTGTAAGTAGTGGGGGTTGTCTCCCAGGGAACACAGTACTGAGCCAATAGAAGTAAGGCTAGAGAGTATTTAAATCTCTTAGTTTGGGTGTTGGACAAAGTCATTTATGCTGAGAATATTGCAGCTCTCACCCCTGTGATGGCTATTTCCTGATATTCATGTTTTGTGTAATCCTCTCCCTTTGAGTGCAGGTGAGACCTATGACTTGCTTCTAACCAAGTGATTACAACAAAGATGATGGGATGAACATGATTAAATTTATCTGATGACATTGCACGAGATGGTAACATCTCTGGAAGAAACTCTGCTCACTTGCTGACTTTGATGAAAGGAGACCAGAGTGACAAAGCTGAGGATGTCCTCCAGCCAACAACCAGAGAAACTGAGGTCCGCAGTACTATACCTACAAGGAAAAGAATTCTGTCAACAGAATCCTTTCCCACTGGAACTGCAGTTGAGATATATCCCTTGGACATCTTGATGGCAACCAAGCTACATGAACCCAGATTCCTGAGCCACAAAAACTGTGAGATAATGTTGGTGTGTTGTAAGCTAAATTTGTGGTTATGTGGTACATAAAAATAGTGAATACAGTCAGTGCTCTCAAAAGCATGTTTTGCTAAAAACTGTTCTAATGTCATGCACTTTGAAAAAAAATTTCCCAATCCCACAATATTCCCAAACTGGGAAATCTATCTATGCCCTCAACCTCCTGAGAGAGTGACTGTACATCTGAGAAATACAGGAAAGATGTTGTTACTTAATTTTTCTCCATTATGGAGCCCATTTTGATTTTTTAAACATTTAGTGATACCTTATAAAATTAATTTTCAAATGCTCATACCACAAAGTAGTCTTTGCAAAGAGCAATAGGCTTCAGGCTGGAGAATGAATCACCTCAGAGGTACATTAAGACCTACAACAGGTATACTTTAGGTGGTAATTTTAAGGAAATCAATTTCCATATTCTCACTTGTTCATATTCATTTTCCCGAGCTACATTCCTGTGAAAATGTCTTCAGTAGGTTTTCACATCTCACTTTATAAAAGAAAGGCATTCTGTCATCCATCCCCAGCAAACCTGTAGAAGACAAACAAAAACACAATTTAAAGCATTGGTGTCCATATTGAAAAAGTAAATGACCATAAGATTGGGTTTAAAATCAGTTGACAAACTCCATTTTCTTTTCTTCTTTTTTTTTTTTTACTTTTACATCGTAGAATTGATTATGTGATGGCAAACACTGATATATCTGCCTTTGAACATATTTGCTGAAGATGGACAGTCTACCACAAATTGGCAAATAAAATCATAAGTAAAAATCTCCTCATAGATAATTAAGGCACATTGAAGCATAAAACAGGATAGGGTTAGAACATCCCTCAAGACTAAGTAAAATCCAAAGTTCTGAGCTGTTGTTGCTGAGTGTGGCAGGTAGTCACAAGGAAAGAAAGAGGCTTTAAAGCCCTTACAGTTCACACACAACAAGTTAATTCTTATTGCAAAGCAGGAAGGACACAACTAATAGAAGAAGCTGCATCAGCCGAACAGTGCACATTGAATCCTCAGAAAGACTCAAAAGGTAAGGAGAACTATTACCCATATTTTATAAATACACCTGCACAGCAGTGAGTTTAAAGACTGGGACTTGGACCCCTATTTGGGACTCCCATCAAGGCCCAAGGGCTTTCGCTAATTTCTTTTTCCCCCTTTCAGGCAACAACTTAGGTTTCTTTCTTGGAGATTTCACATCTGCAATCAATCAGGAAAGCACTGAGCTTGCAGGGTGATTCAGTTGCAACTCCGATCCTGGGTATAAACCTGTTCGTGTTGTATCTTCTATGTGATGAGCATCACACCATTTTTTAGCTCATGAGACGTGTATAGAAAGACTGTTGTGATTCTAACAATCTCAAAGTACTTTGCTACCATATAATAATATAACTGAGAAGTGCTTATAGAAACAAAAAATGCAATATAATTTATTAATGTAAATCATTGAAAGAAAGAAGGCAATCTAGGTGAGCTTATGCTGACTTGGTTTGTCCATTCTTAAAGTTTTTTCAGTAGCTACACAACAAATGAACAGTTTAAGTAAAATACCCAAGTGCATTGAAATCTATCTCTGAATGAAATATACTGGGAAATAATAATGAAAAAAAAAATTGCAGTTCTCCCAGGAATTTTTCTTACAAGATAAAATACTGAAGAATTTATAATTTATCTATATCAGTTTCTTTCTTTATATCTGGTCTACTCCCTAAGGAAACTGAGATGGCTTACAAAAGGTATACAATAAGATAGAAGAAAAGAAACATAAATCAAATTAGGGAGGGGTTGTTAAAACATATAGAAACCAAGGTCAGTAGTGATGAAAGTAAGAGTGGAGACAGGTCCTATTGAATTATTAAAGACTAGTCACAAATTTGGTTCTGAGCTTCTTAAAGCTAAGTAGTTAGAAAATAATGGCTAGACTAAAGGGCTTTGATATGTTATCTGTAGGAAAAAATATATTTCTCATTAGCTGCCTAATTCTTTAATACCTCACAATATTCTTTGCAGATAAACTTTAAACATGGAAATTTTTATGCAAAAGAGAGATTTTGCTCATTAGAAAGAAATTAAATAGAAGGATATTTACAAAGGTGTTTTTCATTGTGAAAACTGATGGTTTCAAAAAATATTATGATAAGGAGAGCATTTCAAAGTTTCCCACGTTAATCAGGAAAGTAAGCAAAGGTCTACTGCTTTGAAGGTTTTAATCCAAGATGCTTATCCAGTCTTTTTGTTGAATAAATCTTGCAAAATAGGCCTTCTCAGAAAATTCACAGCATTTTCTGTGGGATCTTTAAATGTCAACCAAGCAGGCTTTCTGATGATATTATGCCTGCATAACTTCCTAACAGTTGGGGTGGGGGTGGAGATGGGAGATAGTAAACTGGTTTTTGTACTTTACAACATAGCTTTTCTAGCAATGATGACAAAGCTAGATCAGAGTCAGAAGCATGTTACATTCCAAAAGAAGATAAGATGATGACTTGTGCATATAAAAAATGAACATATGTTAAAAATCTTGTTTAATTCATTGTTAATGAAGGAACCAGGAAGATGTTACAGCCAGTTTAAAGGAGAATCCGAAGAACAGATAGTACTTACAGATCAGGAATATTGAAACACAGTTTTTCAAATGGATCCACAGTGACTTACAGAAAGAAGCAGTCTAGCCCTTCATCAGACTATTCATAGACATGTATGATTTGATTTGCTATCAATTATAAAATAATTGATGAAAGACTAAAAGCAGATACCCTTGGACAGGTGCCTCTAATAAATGCTTAATTTTCCATTGGAGACACCTAGTAATTGCCTTTGCCTGTTCATGGGTAAGTGAATATGACCTCCGTCTTGAACACTCCATTGGCATTAGTAGTACCCATTTTGGGTGCATTTTGAAGCACATGATGTTCTTTATCCTACTTGCTGGGATTCAAATGTGGAAGAGCAGCCTTTAATCTTACTTGAAGTAAACAAAACAGTGTCATGAACAGTCCTACTACAGTACTGTGGATACTTGAGATGTGCCCTGATAACAAGTCTTTTCAAAGCTGCCTTCAACCTAAGGTTAAGTATTTGGTGAATGAATACAATTAGTGAATATTCAGATCTCAGCAACATCAATAAATCTGTTTTGCAAGAACAGTTATTTATGTCCACAATTTCAAAATAATTCTCAAATACTAATTTTACATGTGTAACAAATAAGTAAAATTCATTGGAAGTTTTTTTTTTTTTGCCAAATATTTCTGCTGGTGACAGACTGTTCACCAAACTCATCCTCCAGGCATACAGCTAGATTTGTGTCCCAGCTTCCTTTGCAGTTCAGTTGCGCCATCTTGGCTGAATTCTGGTCAAAGCATTGTGGGTAAAAGTGATTTCCCAATTAAGTCCATGCCTTCTCCTTTTCCCCCTATCCTCTACCCCACCGGCTGGATGAAGAAGTCTGAGATACATAAGAGGAAGGAGTCCTATTTTGAAAGAAGCCTAGATTTCTGAACTCTGTGTACATTTTTGGACTGTTTGTTAGTAAAAAATAAAGTACGTCATATTAAGCTTTTGAGTTTTGTGATTTATTTGCAGTGGCAGATGGTGCTACCTTAACAAATACACATCCCAAATTTCTTTCAAATTTAAATTTTTAAAAACAGGCAATATACTTACATTATTTAATAATCAAACAACATAAAAAGGCACACAATGACAATCTGACTCCCACCTCATTTTGAACATACCACTCCATGCCCCCTCCCTTCTGCCCTATAATGAACTACTTTAATACTTTATTGTACATCTTTTCAGTATTTCTTTATATATACCAAAGTATTTGAAAATAATGTATGTGAATATATATATATATACTTTATTTAAACAGTTGTATCTCTTGCATCTCTCACACAACAATGTGAAAGTATAAAATGTGAAAGGAAAGGTGGATTTCTCATTTCCCTACATTGATGCTCCTCTCTCTTTTTATAGATGCATAATATTCCATTGTTGTAAATTAGCAGTTCTTCTGTTGATGGACTTGTCAACACATCTTCTGAAAGACAGATATAATTGATTATCAGTGTCCACTCAGAAGTTAAGCCCATTTTAGTTGACATAAGATCATAGAGCCTGTCTCTTCAAGAATGGACACATACCTGAAAGATTTTTTCCTTTTATTTACCAAACACAATAAAATAATGCATAGAGGGAGAATGAGATAATCAAAGTAAATTGAGGATGAGTTTGAGTGGAATTACCCTATCGCAGCAGGGTGGCAGATAGCCACATTCATGTCTGCTAAATACTTGTCAATAGAGCATAGAACTGTAGCTGCCCTCAAAGCATCTTCATACTCTAGTCCATATGAAACACCATTTTTAGAAAAAGTTATTTATGCATACAAGAACTGGGGTACTGACCAGAGGTACAAAGGTGAGAGGATTCACCAGAGACAGAGTGAGGAGCAGAACAGGCAGATTGACTGAAAATACACTGTTGAGAGGAGCAGTGGGAGAGACAGGCACGCCATGTGGGTCATCTCCCTGACCGGGGTTCAAACTCGTGCTATGGATAGTTTCATAATGCTGTACCACCAGAGAGGCCCACCAAACACTAATTTTTAGGTCATTGTTAATCTATATATTAAGCTCTCATTACAGTAAAAACAAAGGGATACTGATATTTTTTGCCAATTAAAAGGCTATAGCTCTTGGTGTCACAATGGGTTAAGGCATAGCACTATAAACCTATCCTGCAACCACTGCAGTGAGTTCGATCCCTGGCCAGGGATATAACCCACCTGGCCAGTCAGAACCCTCCTGAAGCACCCCTCTGCTCCTCTCATCAGTGTATTTTAGTCAGTCCTCCTGTTCTGCTCCCCACTCTGTCTCTGGTGAATCCTCTCGCCCCCTGCACCTCTGGCTTATACCCCAGTTCTTGTATAAATAAATAAACCTTTAAAACAACAACAAAAAAGGAGGCTGTATTTCTTAGCCTCCATTCTCACCTCTTTCTCTGCCTGTCTAAAATAAACATTGCATCCTTACCTTCCTATTTCTCCTGTATTCCAAGTCAAGGAATTACCTTTGAGTGTCTTATGCCTTAAAGGCAGATCCAAGTTCGAGTGATTCTCTGTGCAGGATGTTGCTCACACTATGTGAACAACACATGGGCCCATTTCTGAGGCCTAATGGAAGCCAAAAACTGTTATCTGTCATCTTTTGCAGGTAAGGAAAGCACTTCTTTGAGAGGCCAGTCAACAAGGAAAACATGGCCAAATCCTCCCCACTGGTTATGGTACACTGTTTTTTTTTTTAAAGATTTATTTATTTGTTCATACAGAACTGGGGTACAGGCCAGAGGCTCAGGGGCTGTGAAAGGCTTCACCAGAGACAGAGTGGGGAGTAGAACAGGCAGATCAACGAAGTACACTGCTGAGGGGAGCAGCGGGCAGGTCAGGAGAGGTCTGCCACGCCATGTGGTCACCTCTGGGGCAGGCAGGAATCGAACTCATGCGGAAGTGGCTTTAGCTTCTCAGTGCTGTGTTTTAACCCGCTGCGCCACCAGGGAGGGCCTGTTTTTTTGTTTTGTTTTGTTTTAAGATTTATTTATTTGTACAGAGTTGAGGAACAGGGCAGAGATTCAGGTGTGGTGAGAGGATTCACCAGAGACAGAGTGAGGAGCAGAACAAGCAAATTGATTGATAATACACTGCTGAGGGGAGTAGGAGGCAAAACAGAAGAGATCTGCCACAACATGGTTGTGTTCCCTGGCCAGGGATGGAATAACAGTGGCTACTGGATAGCTTCATGTTCTGAGACTTAACTCCTTTCACCACCAGGGAGGCCTAGCTATGGGCTTTACCAGGTAAGAGAAATTGGAACAGGTCAAAAAGAGTACAGAATAACAAAGTCCATGGTGCACATGGGTGCAGACTGTGTATATCTTTTCATGGGGCTCATGTTTGTCTCCTGGAGGGAGTGAGGGTTAACCTGTATTGTGGGGGGGGGGATTTGGATGGGCCATACATCATGGGATCATTGTCCTTGATGCTGTGCTTGCAAGCTGAAACCCCTTTAAGAAGGCCTGTTAATTTGTATTACAACCAGTTTGTTCTGATCAAGCCTTGCTCTTTCTGTAAAATAAGTGGGATGGGAGGGGCTTCTGAAAAAGCAAGTGAAGAAAGGAAAACATGCTTAGTTAGCTTTTTCAGCATAAGCCCCATTCCCCCCCCCCCCCAATGAATCCTGACCTTGGTTATATACACAGTGTGGAGGAGGCATAATTTGAACTAGGGTTTCCTGTGACTCCAGATGCCTAGTTCTAAATGATCTCCTATGCTATTTGAATCAGTAATAGCGGTAATAGGGAATGGGTTAGGACTGACATACGGCATATCCACCATCCTCACTAACAGCAATACATGCTGAGGGCACATTAAGTCATCCATGTTAAAAAAATTAGGAATTGGGCATTCTAATGAAATTACCGATCTTTCTATATGAAAGATCCCTGGAGAGTAGCTGTTAGACAGAAATCTCACAGAAGATTTCCAGTGCTTTGAGTACACATAGAATGAGAACGGAGATTTGGTTTTCTGATGTCTTTTACTTTTTTCCTGCCTTACTTTTAAAACCTTGTATTAACTAAGACTTTAAACGTTCTTATTTTAACAAGTATATTAATGGGCTCTATTTGACCTGTCTGAGTAGTTCCTGATTTAGATATGACTTAAAGAAATCATTCATCTTTGGAAAACTGTTGATCTTTGCAACCGTGAGTACTGAAGTTCTTTGTGCTGTGTTGAATACAATGAGAGCTTGGGTATGGGTGGGAGTAGGAGGCTACAGAGAACAGCTGTCCATGCCCAGATCTGGAGAATGGCAGCACATACTTGGGTATATTGTTCCTCTTTTCACCTTTCCCCTGCGCATGTGAATTGTTGCTGATCCCAAATTTTCTAGGTCAGTATTGCAGAGTGTTAGGAGAATGGATGTTCGTGGGTCTGGGGAGTATGCATAGGTTGAAAAATAACCGTCACCACATTGAATGTGAGAGCAGGCAAGTGTGTGGATTTATTGACGCAAGAGAAAAGAACTCCTGACAACAGAAAGGGTCCAGGGAGGATGCCCGTTTACTCCAGCCTTGTCTGTGACTACCTACTGTCGGACTTCCCATTGTCCAGTGTGCCAGACTATCGATTAGGCACTAGGTGTTCCGAAAGTTTCATGGAAGCTGTTTCTTTGTTCCCTAATTTTCCTGTAACCAGGTCTTACTCTAGGGGGTGGCTGGCTCTGCCACATTTCAGTAAAACTTCTATTTTCCTGGGAGCTGTTTTGTTCCATCTGTTCCTATATTGTTTAAAACCATTGTCCTGTGTCTCAGCCTTCCCCATCCTTAAGTTCTCCTGGTGTCAGCGCCTCTCAATAATACATGACTATATGCCCAAGGGCACAAAGGAGAAAAAGACACCCATTCTTCTTTATTGTTTGGTGGGCAGATTTTTCTACCTCAGGATAAATTTAATATTTCAATCACATGGTTTCCTATGCAGACCTTGTCCATGGTCTATCCCAACATTTACTCAATCTGCATCACAGAATATCATGATTTGTTAACTATAATGCCAGAGTAAATGTCAATGGCTGCCCTGTCCTTGAAAGGTGGCAGGATTTATGCCTAAACTTCCACTTTTTAGGGCCAGACTCAGTTTCTTCTATTAGCCTGGGGCCATTGGACATGAAGCCTAATTGCTTCATGGTGAACAAAGGTGGTGACACCCGTGCAAGGAAAGCCCCCTCCTTCAACTCCCCCAAACTGGAAGTTTTCTCTCCCCCATCTCTTACCACATGATTCCAAACTGGACCAATCATTTTATTTATTTTATTTTATTGCTTTTTATATACCCCTCACAAAATATAATCCAAATTTGAACAATAGGTGTTGTGCCAGAATTCGAGTTTCCCAAAGACCACCAAGGAGCTGATTCCAATGCAAAGCACACTTGAGTCTTTATTGCAAGCTTGAGCCTGGGCTCCCAACATGCAGTGGCCGAAGTTGAGAGCCCTAAGCTCAGGAAAAGTAGGGTTTTTCTTACAAAAGAGGGGAGTTTCAGCTCAGCAGGGGGGAGTTTTAGCTCAGCAGTACATTGATTGGTTGACATTGAACAAAGTTATCTTGTCTTAACTGGTTGGTTTATGCATGTAAGATGTGACCTTCACTACTCAGCCCACATACTTTAGGACACCTGGCATTTTTCTAATATGTACTGGTTACTTGCCTACTTTCTAATTGGCTATTGCTATGGGATGAACAAGATTGGGACATTTACAGTTAAACTCGGCCTTGCTGATAACCGAAACTTAGGCCTGGCTGGTTCGGAAGCATTCTGAAGCATGTCATGGCATCAGTTTGGTCTTTCATAGAAAGCATTGGTCAGGATTTTTCTCTGCTAGTATTGGGAAAATGATCTTTTTCCTTCTTGTTTGAATTGTAAAAACAATGTCTGAGAGTTGCCTGTGTCTTCCCAGATGTAAGAAATCCCCAGACAGG